ATATAGTGTGCATATTTACTTATCGCGTATTATCCATATTCATCCTATAGGATATACATCCCATAATATATATCCTATGGCATGCATATGATTTTCATTCCGAGTATACACTTTTCACATCCTTCACATTCAATAATAATTTACCCTTGATCTCATTCAACAATTCTGCACCGTACAAATAATCACCATACCCCATCGGGCAGGTCGAGTAATCCCCATACCACCTCGGGTAGGTCGAGTTTCCACATTACACTCACATCCATGTCATACACAGTCAACACAAGGCATCTCATTATTTTATCACCATATAATTACTAGTGCCCTAAGGCAAGGAAATGTCACTTCCTTTTGTTGCCTTAGGGTAGGGTTTGACACTATATAAGGACCTGGTAATTTCTTAAAGAATGCCTTTACCTCCTTTACTTACTTTCTTGGCCCCGCTCCGCACCTGTCTTGCTTGTCTTTCTTCCTCCTCTTCTCCTTCGATACGTGCCTGCTACTGCAGCAGCTAGAGAGAGAAAAGTACGGATTCGGACATGGGAGCATTAGGAAGATTCTTTCTAGCTTATGTGATTCACTCCTTAAAGAAGGTAGTTGGCTTACTTGCTTTTGAGAGGACAGGTAGTTTACGAAGAGAAGACAGACGCAAGACTCATCCCGATGGATGCGAGACAGCAGAGGATGTGGGAGCTTTCTTTCCCAAGGAAGAGCCCAAGCAATGCCCTTGGGAGCGCATTGCTTTCGTTTCGGTGCAATCCAACTCTCTGCCCCTGCTTCGCCTAACTGAGAAAAGACAGAAGCAGCACCGCTAGTGCACTTTAAGCTATTTCCTGTAAGGTATAGACCAAGTCATTTAATTAATTGTACCGGTCCTGCTCTTTTCTTTGTGCCAACCTTCTCGCCCTAGCCTTGTGTCCACAATTCCAGGCCTTAAATCAAAGTCTTGGATTCAACTAGAAGGTGGAAGGCCCTAACCGAGAGAGGGTCCACAGTGGCTACGGGGAACCAGAGCCCGCACGAAGGATTCAATGCAGAATTAGTTCTTATCTTTCTTATGATATTAGCAGTAATCAATTGAATGACAAATCTCTTGAAAAACGAAGACCTTGACTAGTAGCCGGCTGACTTACGAATACCAGCATCTCTAAAAGAGGGCTTTCTCCGGCTTTCTCTAATAGGGGAAAAGCATTGGCATTCTATTAAAGCGGCGCAGTCAGAAAGTAAAGCAGGAGGCAGAAGGTGGGGAAGGAATGATTCTCAGAAAAAGGGTAGGGTTAGGGGATTGGTCTGGAGTGGATCCGGGGTAAGGAGCGAGTTCAGTTCCCCTCGGGAAAGAATCAATTCTTCTAAAATATAAATAGATATGAGCTGATCGTCTCCCCCCAGAAAGGGCAGAAGTTCGTATAATGATCAGTAAGATGAGTAGGCAATACCATGACTATTTCGATTTCCAAGCGATGACCACTTATGATTGATTGAACCACCCGTATTGAAATCTACAATGGGACTCATGGATCACAGGTCAAAAGGGCGGATCCAAAAGGAAAGAAGATAGCCCTGGGAGGAAGAAGCAAGAACAGTGAAGTCAATGTCTTGTCTGACGGAAAGCCAAAGACACCCAGAACTTTCACTCCGTTAGGCATAACTCTCAGCCGCACCTTGGAAAGGCTTCAAAAGCATGGTGTACTCACGCCTCTTCCCCCATCTCGCTCAACACCAGATCCTCTTCCTCCTAGGTACAAAGCCCATGCCTACTGCAAGTACCTTTAGACAAATGGCCAAAAGACTGACCGATGTTTAAGGCTGAAACATGACATCCAAGACCTTCTTAATTCAGGGAAAATTGAGCCACCAAGGGCAAAGCGTTCCAATGTCACTACCAATCCCCTACCCACTCATGCTTTACCTCCTCCTGCCAATATAAAGATGATCGAGCCGACATTGCCTATGTTGTTGGAGTCGTGAGTCAATTCATGCAGAAACCAAGAACGATACATCTAGATGTTGCATACAGAATCCTCAGATATCTTAAGGGTTCACCTGGAAAAGGTCTTCTTTTCCCATCTTCCAGTTCCCTTCAGATGACAGGAGACTCCGATGCAGATTGGGTAGGAGATGCGCTGGACAGGGAATCCATCACTGGAAATAAAGATTTCATTGTCATTGGAGTCTATATCGTGGAAGAGCAAGAAGTAACAGCTTGAAAGTGATTGATAAAGGAAGGGCTAAATCAAGTTCTTTCGCTAAGTATAGGGCGATGCCCACTAAAGCTGGGAATCCCCGCATCAAACTCCTGTCGAAGATTGATGAAAGACAAGACGATCTGGTACATCGAAACTGTTCGTAATAGGCCGAAGAATGGTGCATTAGATCCGGTAGCTCGCAGAGGGAATTAGATCCAGTAAAGGCCAGCCCTTAGGCTTAGGTACAACCTTACCGGTGCTTTCTTCGTGAGTTTTTCTTTCTTTTTTTTTTATAGAAGTTTATGCCCTTACTCGCCTAGAAGGAACGGGATTAAGGGAGTATAGGTAGAGTCCCGATAGACTGGGAAGGTAGTTTTTCCACTCCTCTTTCTCGATGCTTTTCATAGCCCAGTTTCGTAAACAAGGGAATGACCCATGGCATCAGTTGACTTAAACGAGTTGGGGAGCGAAGCAACTCCGGTAGCTACCGAGCGTAGAGTTAGCTTTTGGCAGCTCATGAACCGACCGAAGGAGGGGTTGACTCTGCTGCCTATATTTGAGGAATGGGAGCAGCTTTGGAATCAGCGTAAGTAGAAGTGGGTCACCCCATATATAAGTAATATGGGCAAGTACGCGAGATGTAACCAAGATCTTTCTATTTTTCAACGAAGTCCTTCTTTCAGCAAAATCGAAGCCCCTTAGTGCAATCGATTTCAGTATGCCGGTTTAATTTGAAGAGAAAGGAGGGCAGACATCCTTACAATCTCAGAACCAAGGAGAGAAGGTGGCGAAGGATCCGGATTCACTTTTTTTTATTTGATTCATACCCGGCTCAAAGCGTAAAGGGCTTTTCCTGATTAAGAAAGAAGCCTAGAAGAACTCTGAACTAAGCCCAAAGGCTAGATCCCATTTCAGTAGTTCAAGTAGATATTTTAGGCTAGCCAGCTTTCAGTGCAAAGGAAAGATGTATTGAGAATCTATAGCATATTCTATAAGACTGAGCTACCAAGCAAAGAAGTTAAAGGCCTATCATTTAAAAAGTAGTCCTACCCTGTCTAAGAGTTTGAACAGGTCTAAGAGCTAATCATTCTACCCGTTAGAATATTTATAGCAGTAATTAATAAGTAGTACTAGGATTGGCGTAAGAAGTCACAATCTCTTACTAGCTCCTTTCTTATTCCCCGTAAATGGCATATCCCTAGGTAGACAACTAGTTCTGGGTATAGTGATACAATTGGGTCTAGTCATACTAAAAGGGTAGGTGTAACGGTACTTTTCTTACCCGGTGAATTGATTGCTGTCCCTCTGGCATAACCCCATCACCGACCGAAGTGATCAAGCAAGTGACACTAGTTATAAGGGTAGAAAAAAAGAGCTTCTAGAAAGAAAATGAAAGATTTTTTTTCCCTATTTAGTTGAAGTCCTATCCAATCCAGTTCAAGTGCTAGGGTAAAGCTATCTAAAGGAGCGAGAGAATGGGTTGGCGAGGTTTCCCTTGCCTACGATCTTTCCCCAAGCCAAGAAAGAGTGCCCTAATATAGAATACGAGTAAGAAGACTAGGCCTCTTAGTTCTCCCCATAGGAGAAGATAAAACCTAGCAGTTCTTCCAATGAAAGACTAGCAGTTAGCGAGCCAGCTAGATAGATAAATGGCAAAAGATTTTATTCCTTCATTCAAACCTGAACTCGAAAGAGCCTATTCGAGAACAGTAGCAAGAGTGAATGAATGGCGGATTCGCATGCGGGCGATGCTTTGGTCATTCAACTCCGCCAGTCGGAATCCGTGCTTGCTGTCATGCTGGCAAAAGCAGGGCTTTCGGCCTTACCTACTATTGGATTTGAACCAATGACTCTCGCCGTATGAAAGCGATACTCTAACCGCTGAGTCAAGTAGGTCAAGCTGAGTCAAGTCAGAGAAAAGAGACCCCTATAAGAAAGAGAAAGCGTTATCACTATACGAAAGATCGGCCTATTCACTCAGCTAGGGAATAAGACAAACCTAAGTTCCCTATTCACTGAACCCAAGACTAAGGGCAAAGAGAACTTCCTTTGCTCCCTTCCTTCAACTTATAGGATGGAACCCGGACTCCTAACTAAACCCTCTTCCTAACTTGACTGATTGTCTCGATTTCACTGCATTGGTTGGCCACCGTGCCTACTTCTCTCCAATGCCTCCTTCTTAAACCCCTTCGTACTGCAATCCAATCAATCGATCGATCAAGAGGCTAATCTCTTTTGTTTGGGCCGGTAGCTAAAAGAAAGTCCTCGCCTTCTCTGTTGTGAACAAGGGAAGGGCAACATAGCATTAGCTTCCATTGAACAAGCTCAACCTTGAAAAAGAAAGGTGGTAGGCCGAAGAACCGTTGAACGCTTCAACTTGGCCACTGAAGAAGGCGAAGGCTGGGCAAGAGACTAGGCCAACTTACTGCTGCCAATTCTGAGTCAAGCATGCCATGGTTTAAGCTTTAAGCTCCATAGACGGAACTTTTTTTTAGGTATTAGGGAGGGGAGGACACCACTCAGCACCTAAGGTGGGGTTCAATGCCTAAGAAAAACAGCCAAAAGAAAAAAAAAAGAGATGTATGGCTGAGGGGAGGAGAGAAAGAACGCATGCATGGGGATTCTGTCTGTCGGAGGTTCGATAATCTATGATAGGACATCTAAGGCTAAGGAAGAATTAAAGGAAGTCCATTACTGAGAGAAGTGGTGATCTCGTCTTGCTTGCTGGGAGAGAGAAAGCTTCCGGACCACCTTTTCAAGCCAGATAGCGAGTGATCACTCAGCAATGAACACTAACTGAAAGCGGCCGGGAAAGAGTAGCCATCCCTTACGGGAATCGAACCCGTGTCTTCGACATGAAAAGACGATGTCCTAACCACTGGACGAAAGGGACCAAAAAGCCATTCTTCATATACCTCAGCTCCGAGAATAGAAGTGGTTCTTTTATTTCTATACGCAATTCAAGATTTCGTTTGTGTTCTGGCGATTTCTGATGTGAATTCGGCGGGTCGTCCCCCCTTCCTACGGGTTCCCCCACCAGAGCCCGCTTACGGCACGCATGACGCATGGTTACAACCTTTGCCTTAGCGTACAGCGAGTTATATAGAAAGCATGAACCACCTCGAACTCACTCGATCGATGGTTCATGGTTCTACGTAATTAGTAGGATCGAGTTTCTACTCCAATCTAAGTTAGGGTTGTGAACTCAAGAGTACCGGTACGAGTTCTTTGAGTAAGGAACTGGTAGCTTTTACTTATGTCAATGAGTGAGAACAGTAGTAGTAGATTGAGTTAAAGAGTTTGATCTTCCCCCAAAAAGGGATATAGAGGGGTAAGGGTCCTTTCTTTTGTTGTTGCACTGAACTAAGTAAGTGTCCTCTTCTCAGAGAGGAGGAGTTGCCTAAAGGATTAGTTCCTCGAGTCTAGTTAACTCGACAGCTTAACACGAATAAAGCGCGAGCTTTCCTCGACTATAGCGCGAGTAGAGTCTAGCTCGACAAGAGGAACTGCTTAACTTGACACTCGACTAGGTCGCTTCGCTTCAAAAATTTAACTTCCCTTGCCTCCTCCTGGCCTAGCACCACTTCCTTTGACACTCTAGTTGTTGTAGCTCTTGTTTACTCCTTGTTTTCCTTCTTTCTCTTGCTTGTTAGGAGTTTAGAGTATGTCTAGAACGAGTGGAACGAAGTGCTTCCCTTAACTTAAGAAGCCCGAGTCCACGATCTAAAGAGGAGCCGAAGGGAGATGGCTAATAGATTGACTTGCTTTTTACCTTTCGTATTCGGCGGAAGTCAATGGGAAGACCAGGAGCAGCAACAGGCACAAGCAAGACCAGAAAAAGAAATCGGATAATAATAATATATGAATCTCTGCTCTGCTTGTTCACTCCCGATACGCCTAAGCCGAATAGAGGGATATGGTCTTTACCTAAGTGGAACGGCAGCGCAAGCTCACTCTTGAAGAGACTTACATACCACTAGTCGTTTTTCTTTGTGTATTGAACTTTGTTGATGCTCTCTTCTGTGGAAAGTAATGAAAATGCTTCGGTGGTCAGGCTCTTAATGTTTATTGTATATTTATGGTCCTTCCATTAACTACTCCTTGCTCCCACACCAGACGCTACTACTCCTTCGGACCCTGTTGCTTAGTCCGTTCGTGTGGTACCTTTGACTCTTTCTGGTGCTGCGCTGCTTAAAACGAGGGTCCGTGAAGGTAAGGATTGCTTTCAAAGGTAATGGACGGTCAGGATGACGGGTGCTGAACCTCCCTTTCCTTTCATGGTCCGGGTTTCTTTGCTTCTGCCCGGGCTGGTGACCTTTCCGATGTTGCGATGATCTGGGTGGCAGCCCCTGCTCGGAAATGGGTCCATATGTATGTGGGTTCAGGAGGAGGAGGACTTCGACTCCCAACTCTTTCTTGATCAGAGAGTTGCTGCTCTTTGAATGTCAACAGCTTGTTGATTCCTTGCGATAAGTAAGAAAACGTCCACCATCGAACATATTCCAAGACCATCTTGCCCTCTCTGTCATCCGGCATTATCACGAAAGCAGCCCCGGTGCCCTTTCTCATCATATGTGCCCAGTACCCCGCCAGTTCCGAAAGGTTAAAGATGACGCGCTTGACGGAAAGACCGGGTGCCGGAATGAATTGGTCAAAACAAAATGGTCTTGCAAACCGGTGGGGATTTGACGGTTCTGCCCGAAGTTGCCCTGTCGTAACGTCAGAATGCCGCATCGCATGGAGATCTGATCAGAGACTATCCTGGATGCATTTTCACAACAGCAATAAGTAGCAAGGGCCCTTTTCATCGACCTTGTCGACCAATCATACACAAGATTTAGGGCCTCTCTTAAATACCATGCTTGTAGGGCCGCCACGTGAAGCTCCTCGGATGGTATTTCAACGGATAATGCGGATAGAGTGGATGGACGCCTAGCCGAAGAATCCACGGACACCTATGCTACCTGCCTTTACGGAAGAGGTGAGGCTCAAAATCCTTAGAAATCTGTCTTTCATTCCCGGATCTCCGAACATTACACCTTGTAGAACTTTAGTAAGTAAGGGAACCTCTGATAGCCCCAGTTAAAGATACTGCTCAACCTTGACTGGACTGCCATAACAATTGATGGGTTAGGAGCCTACTCTAACTAAGAGCAGCTTCTCCTCCACCGGAACCAGGTTCCGATGCGATGCTTGCTAGGGGTCTTAGAAACCAGGAGATGAGAGATTTGAGAAGGGCTTTTCACACCTCAGAAAGCAGATAAAGCTAGCTCATTCGAACCTGCAAATAAGGTAGTGATGCCTCTTAACCAAAAGAGGGGGTGCCCTACTTAAAATAAAAAGCCCTCCATCTATCGATTCTTGAGATGCGACTGAACTAAGACCTGTACGTGTACGGTGTTTAGAGTGAAGACATACGCTTTCTGAAAGAGAGAATCTCCACCCTAGCATGCACGTCCTTAGCTTAGCCCGCATTGATCAATATCAATAAGAATAGCAGTCGTATAGGTATAGGTTAGCGCTTCCTTGCTTGCATCCTTTCCTCTCTTTCTTATAATGAAATAGATATAGATGTCTCGACTGCCGAATCCTTATCCTGCAAACAACTCGATTCTGTTGATTCACTGTCCATTTGTCCTTCAACCGGATTAATGGTCAACGACTTTGACAGCCTTTCCTTCACACAAGGTTTTTAATACTTCTCCCCCGCTTAGGACAGAAAGGGGAAGTAGCGAGATTACGATTCCTTCGTGGGAAATCAACGAAGGCAGTCGCTCCAGCAGCTTTAGTACTTAGTTAAGGCCTTTTTTTTTTGGCCCTTAGCCCGGTTCTTCTCCGGCTCCACCAGCAGCCTTTATCAGCTGCTATGGTTCCCTTCCCGCAATGCGAATCTCTATCTCTTTGCGGCTACGACCTATTCTAATAGGACCCATATTCAATCTCTTAAGTGACTTCTGAACACTAGCTAGCTCTAGACCTACCTATATTAGCCATGAGCTATCGCCAAGCCAAGCGGAGTTGAAAGAAAAGTGAAAACATGGCCTTAAAAACTTATCTAAACGCGACCGAAAAAAAACCGATGAGAAAGAAGCGTCATCCTTCAAGCCTATGTAGATGACTTGAATAGTAGGGTTCAAGCCCCTCCTTTGACTAACAGGAGTGCATCCAGGCCAGGTTATTCGCAGGGAAAATACTTTAGGAGGAATTGGTTGAGGGCCTATATTTCTTAGATCGAGTGACTGGCCCCTAAAGGGCGGAATTTACTTCTATCTCTGTTGGTTGGCGATTTGCCTTTGAGCGAGTAAAGTCAATCCTATCAGCCTGTCAGCTCAGCCAGTGAAGTTACTTCCGTTCTTGGTTCACTTTACGATGGAAAAGTCTATCTTCTTGTTATTTTAGTTCTTTCCTTCTCTGTCTTTGAAAAACTGCCCTTTCGTAGTCAGAATTTACCAAAAGGAAAGAAAGTTCGAGGGAAGATTCTTTAACGTTCGTGGCAGTGAAGTAATGAATCCTATTTTAATTCTTAACTCTTTTTAAGGAGTGAAGCGCGTTTATAATGTAAGCAAAGACTCTTTATTACGGTCTCCGGAGAGAGGTCTGAGAAAGATCACCCCTGCGCGGGGACCTAAGCCCGGAATTCCATCATCTGAGGAAGATTAAGACTTTTTCGATTCCTACATCTTCCCCCCAACCACAGTCGTTAGTAGATATTATGGGCCTTTTAATTCCTTGCTTATGGATGGGAACATGCCTTCTGTTAACCTCCCCTCCGGAACTTATTCAACCAATTAGTCAATCCGCCTTTCCTTTCACTCTGCCTCTTTTTCCTTTTGATTTCTCTGGGTTGGGACTTGCGATTGATTCGCCGAGCGGGAGTGACATGACTTTTGCTATCTATGATGGTTCGGGAGTTATTGAAGCAAGCAGTAGTCATAGTGCTGGTGAGCAGGAGTCAAGTAATCCGAACGTTGCAGTCTTTTTGGGAAGCATAGTTTTGGTTGTCTTACTGGCCGGAATGCTTGCTTCCAGGATTTAATAGTGATTGGGCCTATCCTATCTAATTAGTGAGTATTTGTAGAGCCTTTTGTCGCGCTTCTTTATCTTTATCTTTATCGATCGGGACGTCTTTTTATTTGGTTTTGAATCCGGAGAAAATTCAACACGTACATATGAAGAAGTGGATTGAGAGATGAGTCTAAGGTTCAAAGAAAGGCTTTAGCGCCTGAGATCAAATCCCTCCTAATCACTATAACCACATTTTCCCGAGGGGATGTAGAGGGGAATTGAAATCCTCATTCTAATTTTTATTTTTCTATCTATGGTTCGTGCTTTCTTATCCGAAGGGGAAAGCCCCGGCCTACAGCACCGCTATGAGAAATCCCAACCCAGAGAAAGGAATTTCACCTCTTCTAGCCCTTTAATTTTATTTGAATAGGGCGGCTACAAATAGCTAGTATGAAAGAACTTACTTTCTTCTTGAAAAAGGAAATCTGATTCCATAGTTCGGACCAAGGCTGAGACAAATTCTGTGTTTACTTCGCGATAGCCTTAACTTGACATTATCAAGCCATACTATCTACCCAAATGGATTTTAAACTGACATTATATCCTATATATCGGAGATATAAGGGTTGCACTTCCGCTTATGGTAACTGAACTTGGTAACCAAACTCTTTCCCGGCAAGAAGATCCAACATTTCCTTCGGGCAAGTTCAGCTATAGTTGGGTGGGAATGGGAACGGACCGACTCTAACTAATCCACTCCTAGTAAAAGGAAGGGTAAAGGCAGACCTCGTCCTACTTTAACTCTACTCTTT